ATGAGCTGGGCCCATTTATTCCACAACCCTATCAAGTAGGTTTTATTATTCTCATTTTACATTGAGAAACAGGCCTGGAGAGGTTAGATAATATACCCAAATGTCTGTCACCCAGAAAGAGCAAAGCTAGGTCTGACTATAAGTCTGCTCATTTCCACAACTCTCAGGCCTCTAGAGCTAAGCTAGCATAAGACAAGGAACAAACTCCATTCTCAGTTGTTTGTTAGCTTCCCCACGTACAGCTTCGATACAGGTAAAAATCTCCTAATTATAAAATCAGGGGTCTCTTACATTATCTGCAGGCTGATTTCCCAGGTCCTCCTCTCAGACCCTTCTATCAAAATTTACACGAGGAGCCTGGAGTGAGGCAAGATGGGAGAGTGGGACCTCTCACCCTGCCTGTGACTTCTCATTTGGGGCGTGTCCTGACACTATCACATTTTCTTAGACAAAGGCCTTCCCTAATTGTTATGAAGGCAAGTTCAGAGCCTACTCATGTTTTTCAGGGCTTGTGAGCAATCTCGTGATCTGCACACAAGACAACACCCGGAAGGAGGAGGTACAGATGAACTGGTCGTTTTTTACACTCTAGTGACTGGATGCCCTCTGTAACACATAAGGACATTTGGAGAATGTCACCTAGAGGTAAACAGGAAAACACACCATTAGATTTCCTAACAAAATAGTGGAGGGGAGACTCTAGTCTATTTTTTCTTCCATCCCATTATCACATCTAATTGTATTGTTCAGACTTCCTAGAAAATGTAGAAGTTGACATCATGTCAGAAAGAGTGGAGAAAATATAGAGATAATACTTTTATGGTGTATATGAAAAAGATTTTTTTAACCCATGGAATCAATAAATGTAAAAGAAATATTACATTTCAGCTCAGGGTTTTAGGAGAAATTAAATAGCAACTGGAACGTAATCTATATACATATGCTTTAAGCTGCATATGGAAACGACCCCGGCATGGTCTGCATTCAGCTGCATAAGTTACTGTCAATGCTTTCTGTGTGTCCATAGAATTTAGATGTTGGCTGGTTAGCTCAGTTGTTGGAGCATGATGCCAGTAAATCCGAGGCACACATTCAATTCACTCACTTATAATCCAGGTAGTTATAAGACTTTATGCTCAAAAACTAAGAAAAGTGTGTATTTACTGCTATGTCCCTAATACCTAATAATTTTTGGCACATTATAGGCATTCCATTAATATTTTACTGATACTGTACACTCAACATCATGTGGTCAAAGGATAAAAAAAAGAGGAGGAAAGGGGCCGGCCCTGTGGCTGAGTGGTTAAGTTTGCGCGTTCTGCTTCAGTGGCCCAGGGTTTTGCCAGTTCGAGTCCTGGGCGTGGACACGGCACCACTCCTCCGGCCATGCTGAGGCAGCGTCCCACATGCCACAACTAGAAGGATCCACAACTAAAAATACACAACTATGCACTGGGGGGCTTTGGGAGAAAAAGGAAAAATAAAATCTTAAAAAAAAAAGAGGAAGAGAAACAATCGTTCTTTGTGAAATCTCTGCCTCTTGGTAGCCTGGGCAACTTACACTCTTTCCAGTAATGAAGTTACTTAAACTCTCTAACCCTCATTTCTTCATTTGTAAAACGGGGTCAATAAATCCTACCTGCTAGGTTGACGTGGTGCTGAGAGCATTCAGCACAATGTCTAGAGCTCCAAACATAATACAAACAGCCACAGTTTGTTGAATGCTTACTTTGTACCAAGCGCAGTGCTCGGCATTTTCAAGCCCTGTTGATCCTCACTGCAACCCTATATATGATAGGTATTGTGTTATCCTCCATTTAGATCAGGAAACGGAAGTTTAGAGGGTTAATGGAACTTGCTCAAGATTACATGATGGTGTATTTCTTTTTTTTCTTTTTTTTTTTTTAAAGAAGCAGTATAGCTTTTTTTTTTTAATTTGGAAGTTTGGCCCTGAGCTACCATCTGTTGCCAATCTTCCTCTTTATTTTTCTTCTCCCCAAAGCCCCAGTACATAGCTGTATATCCTAGTTGTAGGACCTTCTAGTTCTTCTACATGGGACGCCGCCCCAGCGTGGCTTGATGATCAGGGCTAGGTCCGCACCCAGGATCGGAACCAGTGAAGCCCGGCTGCTGCAGTGGAGCACGTGAACTTAACCACTCGGCCACGGGGCTGGCCTTGGTGTATTTCTAAAGATTATTTTACTTGCAAGAACAGAAAAACCAACTCAAACTCAAGAAAATTTATTGCCTCGCCTAACAGGAAAGCCCAGAAGTGCACTAGCTTCGATGCAATTTAGTCCCGAGGGTCATGATGTCGTTAGAGCGATGGCTTGTTTTCTCTGCAGTTTTTCTCGGCTCTGGCTTCACTCTTCGCTGATGTTTTCAAGGTGGCTGCCCGCAACTCCTAGGGTCACCTCACATCCAGGTGGGGAGAGGACTCACCTTGAAACTGTTGAAACAAAGCCTTCAACGCTAACTGCACCGTACAGGGTGCCCCGGACGCAACCACTCCAGCAGGGGGTGGGATTATTCTGACTGGCTGGAGCCCAGGATGGATACGGTCGAGACGGAGCAGCTACAGCATGGGGGAAGATGTGCAACCACGGGGGCTAAGGAACTGCAATAAGAACCTGTTACATTTGTCCTCTTTCACCAGGTAAAGAAACAAGATAATTCCCCGAAGATTTGGGCTGAAATGATATTTAATTTGAGCAAAAACAATAGCATAAATCTTATGTTGACATGATAGTAAATTTGCATTTGTGTATTTGGTTTACCATTTACAAGATATTTTTTCCTGACCTAAATTATCTCATACCCTCAAACCCAACCCAGGAGATTGGAAGGACAAGTGTATTTACTCACAGGGGAGAAAACTAGTGCTTGGAGGGTTTAGGAAGTTATTGAAGGATGCATTTCGAGTAAACAGCTGAACTGAGACTGGAAGAAGGGTTCATTGATCTGTAACCCAGTGCTCTTTCAGGAATACCACATTCTTTGGAAAGGAAAGTATTACCTCCATTTTTTATCTGGAAACCGAAATTCAAAGATATTAGGCAACTCTGTGCCAAGCACTACTCAACAGGTATGAGATTCAGACTCATCTTCTGACTCCAGAATCTGTGCCCCTCACCTATTTACTACTTCAGTTCGCAAATCTCAGAATGGAAGTGGGCATGGAAAGAAAGCATTCATGTCCCTTCACTCCTCGCTTGTGAACAGCAGGGCCAAAACCCTCCTTTCCCTTATGTAAGAGTACTCATTTTAATACCACATGACAGGTGGTACAACAGCCATTTAAAGTATATTCATGTACGTGAAGGATAAAATTTCTGTTACTCATCTCATAATGCGTTTTTATTGACACCTAGAGTTCCTTAATCTGTGGTGAGAAATCTCTCTCACTTCATTACTGAAAGAAGCTCTGCGAGAGTACCACCCCTTTACACCTTGCCCCCTGACTTCCATCAGAAAACCCACAGCCCTCAAGGTGGGCTGGCGGCTCCTGGCCTTTTAATCACAAGGACTCCTTTTCCGTTACCTGGCTCCCTCTGCGTGGACTTTACTCCACAGAGTTCTCCTTGTCCTGAAAGCTTGGAGTGTCTAGACCCGTGGCCAGGCTCTTGCTGCACTGGCTGTTTAGGAGCTGAAGTGGTTGGGCTTGGGGCGTGTGTCACAGTGTGGTCCTGCTTCCAGGTCTCAGAAGTTCTGTGACATCGTCCAAGACCAATCAGGACCTCTGATCATCAAGTGATGTCTGGTGTTACCAAGATTCCAGGCAAAAGAAAGATTTGTGATTTGACTAGTCTGGGTGGCCTAGTTAAGTGAGAGAAAATATAAAATTTTTGGTTAGGCTCTTTGAAATATTAAGCATACCTAGTAGATTCCAATACCATCTTTACAGACCACAGGGACTGGGACCTCATGCTGGGCAGCATGCGTTTAAGATCAGATTTGCTTTTTTTTCTCTCCAGAATATAAAAGAAAATAAAATTAACATGTATTGATTTTGACCACTATGTCAAAGTATAACCATGTTTCTGTCACTGAGGGATGATGGATGGTCAGCTTAAGTGTTCTGTTGTTTTACATTTAAGGATATATTTTTAAAAATTAAGTATTGTTTTTGCGCAGAAACAAGTTGAATTTATTTTTTTCGACATCAGCTGTTCCCTCTGATGTTACAGTAGCCTTGAGAGAATCAAGGGCAATGTGACTAGTCTTATTTTTGCTTTGGGAAATGGGATAGTAACATTTGCCCTGCCTGCTTCCCAGGATTACTGTGGGTTTTAAATATAGTAACAATGTGAATGCTCTGTACAACATCCAAAATGCTGTACCCGTGCTGACTCTTATGTTCTAGCATTGTCTTAGTCTGGGCTATAAGATTATTAGGAGAGGTCATTTCCAAAACGATGACCGTTTGCCTGATCTCATACAACCCAGAATTGATGATGTTCTGCTCTTACTTAAGTGTGAGGAAAAGGGAAACTTATTTGTAGCACGTTTTGTTCTAGTCTGATTTATGAGTGTGTGTGTGTGTGTATGTGTGTATAACCTAGTTATTCTATTAATGCTGTTACGGTCCTGGTCGAGAGAGTGTTCCTGATTTCCATCAATTTCTACATTCTGAGGCTTCGATCTAGAGAAGTGGGGTCAACCTCTTCCTGAATGGCAAGCCCATTCTCCAGATGGTGGACTGGGAGAAGGGCAGCTAATGTTCCTTGAGCCCTACTAAGGACAACATGGCACACGTTTCTCTCCTTTTCATCCTTGCAGCAGCTCTCCAAGGCGTGGCTTATTCTAATTTACAGATAAGGACGTGGAGGCTCACAGGACTGTATAACTTGGCCGAGCTCGCACAGACCATCCAGGAATTTAGCTAGGTTTGTGGGACTCAAAGCTTTTACTGACTTTCACTTTCTCTCACACACAGAAAATGAGAGCAATTCTCAGGGCAATATGGGAAACATTGATTTGGGGTCCTTCCTTTGTTCTAGAGCCCGAGGCTTTTCTCCTGCTCCATAATCCCTGAAACTTTCCATGATCTCATCTCTCAACACCATCCCTCAACCCTCACCTCCTGCACTGAGCCAACCAGCTGACTGAGAAGTGTTCATGACAAAGGCCCAGCAGCTCTCAGGAGCACGAATTGGCACATCGTCAGCGCTCCATGAATTCAAGTCCGAAGACAGAAAGAATGAGTGATGTGTGAATGAAGACAGAGAAGCAGCAGCAGGAGTTATTGGAATGCTTGAGAGAGTTTCCCAGTGAACTTTATAAAATAGTGAAGGGTAAGCCTTACCCCCATGCTCATGGGTATTTCTGGTCACCTCCTCCCAGTGCCCAGGGCTTTGTGAGCTTCGCCTCTGCCCACAAACACTCCGTGGCAGGGTGCAGAAAAACCCCACCAGTTCTGCACCCTCCAGTCACTCACTCACCCTACTTTCTGCTTTATTCTTCTTTCTAGGACTTACCTCCATCTGAAATCAGAGACTCCTTTGGTTCCACGGCTACTCAAAGTCATTCGGGGCGGCTTTGATGGGAGCTAATCCCAGTAGCTAACTCGTCCTCCCGAGGGAATGGATCTAGGAAGCCACTGAGGATTCGAGGTCTAAAGGTCCAGGTTCAACCCCTGCCTTCCTCCCCAGCCATGTGATGGAGCACGCCCCTCTCCTCTCAGAACCTCTGCGCATCCTCACCAGCTGGTCGTGGAAAAGCAAAGCTCTACCACCACAGCTGCCAGGTGGTACTGCACGCCCGCCATTGGCTTGGGAGGTCCTTGAGAGCAGGAGCTCTGTCGCAGTAGTGGTTTTTTATCCTCGATCCAAAGCACTGCTCAATACATGTTTCTTAAAGCAATAAACAGAATGGTCCTAGCATTACCTTTCAACGTTGTCCAGGCAAGTGCTCAGTGTGCCTCCCTGGTCCTACCGGACAGGCTCGATTTCTTCTCAGGTTTGCCCCGAGGAGCTCAGTCCCCACAGCCAGGCCAACCTGGATTTGAAGCTGGCTCATTCTGGGTAAGTGACTTTCCTCTGTGAGGCTCAATTTTCTTCCTCTGGAAAATGGAGATAGTAGCAGTTGACGTTTCGTGGGGTCATGTGAGGACCACATCTATGCTCAGCCATTTCCTTGTGTGTGGCGAGCACACATCACGAGTGAGCGTCAGCATCGCTGGGCAGCCCACGCCCGCTGCAGCAGCCGTGGAGTGGTCCAGAGCTCTTCTCGCCCTCTGCTTTCTTCTCTACTGAGGGGTTTCTCTGGCACCACAGGGTCTTGCTCAGCCACAGGCAGGGGTGCCCCAGAGGTGCAGGGGGTCAGCTCCCCCAGGGTGTCCTACAACCAGTGGGGATCAGAGTCAGTGGGTAAATGCCTCACCCTCTGGGGTGATTCTGGAGTGTGTTCCACAGTTTGTTGGAGGGCCCCTGTGGACTGAGCCCGTTGCCCACAGCTCTCACCCACTCATTCACGCATGCTGTATTTGCAGACTGTATTTCTCTCTTTGTCCCCTTCCTCACGTGTGCTTCCTGAGATCACCACCAAATAAATGGCCCAGTGCCCACCCATCCTATCCTAATGCCTGTCTTAGGGCCTACTTTTAGGGGAACCCAAACTGTGAAGTTAGCTATCAAACTTATTATTATTATTATTGATCCCCATAGTAACACCACTTAAGAGATGGAGAAACTGAAGTTAAGAGAGGTGAAGTAATTGGCCCGTGGTTACACAGCACAGGGTTCTGATAATCCTTACCTCTCAGGGTTGTTTTGAGGAAGTAATAAGTCACCTATCAGATATAAATGAGCTTTGCAAACTGCAGTATTGGGCACGAGTTGCTTCTTGTCCCTTCCTAGTGCCACCTCTTCTAATGACGGTGACATAGAAAATGACCCTCCGATACCCAGAGCAGCCATAAACATTCCCAAGTGTGACAGCTCACTGTTCCTTTCTCAGGCCACATAATTGGTCACAGCGCAGCCGCACAGTCTGAGCCCGTTATCCGTGATTCATAGGCTCTGGAGCCGGTGTGACCCTAGTGCACCCACGCAGTGGGAGTTTGGACTCGGAATTCACAGTCCAGGCATAAAGTGGTGTTTACACACACGTGACAGCTCGTCTGCGGGCAGGGGAAGTTTATTTAACAGCTGGAACAGATTGCAGAGTAACACTCAACAGCCTCGTCGGGAACATAGAAACCTCAGGAGTCGAGATGTGGAGGCAGCGCGGGCTGGGAAGACACACAGTCTCGGGGAAGCCTGCTCCACGCGCTCAGACTCTCTGCTGGGATGTTCAGCTTGGATTGTTCCGGAGATGCAGTCCCGAGGGCTCAGCAAGACCAGTCACTGACAGTAAGATCAGTAACCAGAGCAATAATAAGAGCTGCGATCATCACTGAATGAATAAGGGATCCCCTCGTACAGGCCACGCCCTGAAGCACCGGACAGGCAGGAGCTGGCTTGATGCTTGCGATGGTTCTTTGAGGCAGATATGGTTGTCCCACTTTATACATGAATGAAGAAACTGGAGCCCAGGGAGCTTGAGTGACTTGATCCAAACAGACCCCATGGTTTGGACTACCTCGCCCTTCCAAGCTCCTGGGCCCCAGACTTAATGCCATCTGGGGGTGTGAGGTGTTGGTAGGTTGGCTGTTTCGCTGGTTGGTTGGTTTTAATGTGTGAAAATACAGTGTGATGTGGAGAAAAGTCTTTTGAATCAGGTAGACCTTAGACAAATCACTTCATTTTCCCAGGATTAATTTCATTCCTACCCAACATTCGGTAATGTCTGCTTCGCAGAGCACCCATGAGAAGGTAGTGGGTTTAGGCTTGTAGGTGTCTGCCACATGGTAACTGAGCACTGCTTGGCGCTGCTCTTTCCCTTTCACCCTTGTCCACTTACTTCCAAAGATGATTTACAAAGGAAAGTTGGGAGCCACCATCTGAGAGGAGAGTGACTCCTTGCCAGGCCTCAAATTGTTTAAGAGATTCTTTTGTAAGGCAGAGAATGTCAAGAGACAAATATAAGAAGGGTTTTTCATCAGTCTTTTGTCTTCTACTCAAGGAAACATTAAGTAGTATTCAGGCATTCTCTGCCCTGCTGTCTGCCTTCTGCTGGGGTGGTCTCTCTCTCTGAACTATTTCAAATGTCCCAGCAGAGCTGGAGAGCTCTCCTCACCCCATTGACACGTGAAGGGCACATAGAGCTTCCATGGGCAAGTCCAATGACCACAACTGGTCACAGACTCTCTCCCTTGAACCGGCTGCCTCTCTTTTTTCACCCAACACAGTGATAAGATGTCATTCAGGCTAAGTTTCTAAGTGAGACTTATGGAAAGTAATAATGATAAAAATAAAGCAAGACATAGAAACTAAGACTAAAGTTATGTCAGAGCCAAATATACCAAGGACAGGAGGGGACTGCTTCTGAGAGAAGATGGTATGGTTAAGACAGATGACACAGAAAGAACCATTTTACTCCTAGTCAAGACTGAGGCTAATGGTCACACAAGTTGCACACTGCACCCCTCCGGAGGGCACCATCCCCCCAGACGGGGATGTGAATAACAGCCGTGGAGACACGCAGCAAGGCAGCCCTGCCTGTGATGCTGCTGTCCTGTTCCTCGGGAAGCATGATCTTCAAGGTACAACACAATTAAGGGTGAACTGAAGTTCCAGGTGAGAGAAGAGATGTCAGAGAGAACCTGATTCTTTTATTAATGTCATAATAGTAGTATGCAATAGTGATACTTAACACTTACGGAGTAAAGTGTGTCAGGGACGCCCCCAAGCCCTGAGCATATATTACCCCGTTTTACCCTCAACTGCAGTACTGTTGCTACCCGGCCGACAGCCATTCTTCCACTTCCCTTTCAGCAAGCTTCATTTTGTTTGAATGGCAGCCCCTGCCTGAGGGGGTAAGTCATGACTGTCTAAGTCAATCATGGCAATGCTATCCCCCTGAGCCAGTGATTGGTCCTTGAGTAGGCATGTGACCAGATCTGGCCAATGAGAAATAGAGGAAACTCTAATATTTTCCAGGGATTGCAAATATTTTAGAGAGAGGCCACAGAGAAGGCTGTTTGTTTGTTTGTTTTAAACCTGTGTTTTCTATTCCTGCTTTGCATACATTATGTTAATATATGATGCTTCTTGCTGCTGTGGTCTTCTAAGGAGCTTGAGAGAAGGTCAAGAGAATTGTGGAGATACCAACATAGCACCCTAACGTCACCTTGTTGCTGAGCCAACACGGGCCCTGCCTCCCCTGAAACCTTTGGTGAAGTGAGATAATTAAATGTCTTTACTGTTCATGCCACTATTAATTGAATATTCTCTTACTTGCACCCAAAAGAATTCCTATTGATAAAATATTATTGCTTCCACTTTACCAATGAGGTAACTTTCCCCATGTCACACAGTTAGTAAGTGGAAAGGCCAGGTTTCAAGCCGGGTCTGTCTGAGCCTAAGCTTTTCACCGCTCCTCCTCTGCCTGGGGCCGAGGCTCAGGTCGAGGGGAGCTACAGACCAGGGCAGGGTGCTGGCTCAAACAGAGAAGAAGTGCTCTCAACAGTGGACGGCTCTCCCGGGTAGGGAGCTCTCAGCCACTGGAAATGTCCACGCAAAGACAAGACTACCATTCATAAGCATTGTTGCAGAGGCGAGTCAGGCTCTGAGCAGGCGGAAGTGAGGAAGATGAATTGTGAATGAGAGGCAAGTGTTCCATGAATGTGTTCTGGAATAGAACCAAATGGACTCAGAGACTCGGTGAAAAAGAAGTTGCAGCCTTGGCTAACCGGGTTTTCACTCTGAGATAGCGTCTCAGGCATCTGCACTAAGGAGTGGGTGTGATGACCGGCGGCCACCGAGGGCGATGGCGTGGTGACGTGTAAAGGTCAGGTCTGCGTCTACGTCAGAGGCCCAGCTCTGCTATTTCTGGCCTGTAACCCTCAGCTTCCCCTTCGTCAAATGTGGAGAATGGACTTGGTGTACTTCACAGGCCACTGTGAGAATTAAATGAGACGATTATACACTTCCACAAACATCCACTGATGCGCCTGGCCTTCTGCTGAATCCTGATGTCTGTGTAAGCTATACAGAGTTTCCCAAATTTAAATATTAAGCATTTTCCTTTTTTTTAAAAATTTTCCAACTCCTCTCTCCTTCCTACCCCACCGACAGAACCAAAAAAGGATCCCATTCATCTATTTTGAAATAAGTCAAGCTCTGATCCAGGCAAATAGAAGAAATGGCTCCAACGGACAGTTTCCAGCAAGACAAATTCCCCAGTGGCTGCTCTCTGCCACCACTCAATAATGGCGTTTGCCGTAAATTGGAGAGCCTCTTTATCAAGTGCTTGGAAGCGCGTGGGACCGCTTTAGCCCTAGAGTGACATTAATCACAAACGCTGCTTTGGAAAGAGTGATGGGCGTGAACAGGAAGGTTCAGTGGAGACCATTTCCACTCCCCCCGATGCCGTGGAGAGCCGGGGTTTGCAGAACTGGGGCTCTAAGTGTTCAAACATTTCTCAGTTTGAGAAAAATTATTGCGTCCAAGAATTGGTTTCTATTACCCTAATAATGGCCTAGAGGGGCAGGCGAAGGAACTAATGTCTTTTAAAGAACCTACTATGTGTGCCAGACACTATGCTTACATCATCTCTTTTAATCCCCATAACAGCTCCACAAGATAGGTCTGGTTATCCTCATTTGATGGATGAGGAAAGTGAGGCCTAAGGCAGCGGAATGACTTGTACAAGTGACCAGGTGCAGAGGTGAGAGTGAAACGCAGGTCTGTGTGACTCCAAGACCTCACCACACAGCCTCTCGGAACCTGGACTGCAGATCCCCAGCAGCAGAGTTCAGTGTAGACACAAGAAATGAGTGGAGTTGGCTGGCTGAGACCACTGGCCCCAGCAAGGACGACTGCGAGAGTCCTGTAGGACCCAGCTTTAATGACACTGTTCTGTGATAACCTCCCCAAACACGGCTTTTCCTTTTATAAGATAGAGAATGAATGAATGAATGAATGAATGAATGAATGAAAGTGCTCCAGGCAGAGTAAGAATCTGCCTCCTCTTTGCTCGTGCACAGGGTGGCAGCCGTGGAGAGCCCCACTCAGATTCCTATTCGAGAGAACTCGCTGTGGGGAGATGAGTGACTCCCTGGTGCTCCAGCTGCCACACCTTCAGCTCCTCTGTGATCCTGTACCTGGACTGCTCCCAGCCAGCGACTGAGCGCAGCAGGGGCACCTTTGCTTGAGGTCTCCCTGTTGGCCTCGCTGAGACTTTCTTAGAACTGCACTAGAGTCAGAAGCAATTCCAACTCACTCTTCCTTCCTTCCCACCCTCCTCTCGTGTGTGTCAGACCCGTATCATGGTCTGAAGACTCTCCGGGCCTCCTCCGCCCCCCATCATTCACAGGTGTTTCTCCCATAAATCTCTTCACTTCTACTGCCGTCTTGGCGTCGCTTCTGAGGACTCTAGCAGACTTACTGATTCTATTTCCCCAACCCCAGTGTCTATCACTAGGAAAACAGATCAATATTGTGATGTTGTCACGCAATGGAATACTACAGAGCAGTGACAATGAATGAGTTAGTGACACAGGCATCAACATGGGCACATCTCAAAAATATAATGTTGAGCAAAAACAAAAAAATTGCAGAGTGATACATACGGGACGTAACATTTACATAAAGTTTTATAACACATAAAACAAAGCAATACATCATTTGTAACATGTACAAATGTAATAAAAGTATAAAAACCCACTAGGGAGGGCTGAGTTCTGAAATCAGGAGCGAGGTACCGCTGAGGAAAGGAAGAAGGGAGAACACAGTCTGCTGTCCTCCTTTAAGCTGGATCGTTGGGACACAGTTGTTCTTTGTACCTAAGCTTTTAAATTCCTGAAGTATTTCATAATAAAAAATTAATACATATTAAATCATACCCAACACATTGCCTCTTTTGAAGAAATATTAAAATGATTTGAAATTGGCTCTGTTACGGAAAATCTTGGATCTATATGGTCACACGCAGCAGTCTCTCGCGGCTTTTCCTGCACTGGGTAGCCACTCCTCATTTGTATGCTCCTTCCTGCTCTTTGCCTCCCCGACCCGCACAGCCACAAGCCCTAGGAAAGAAGACTCTTAACTCCTTGTTTCTGAACCCACAGTGGTGATGCCAGTAGGGGAGCAACATGTGTTCCTTATGTTTCTAATAATCACAGATAAGAAAATTGGGGGCTGGAGGGAGAGGAGGTGAGGGCAGCAGGCGGCAGAGCAAGCATAACTACTTTTCGGTCGAGCCAGAAGGCGGAGGCTCTGCCTGAGTCTGAGCGCCCTGCACGTGGGCGACAGGTCTGCAGGGAGGGCCTGAGGCCAGGTCAAAGGCCTTGACATATCTGAGTTCCTACTTCTATGCCAGTCACTTTGTTAAATGCTTCTTGTGTTTTCTTTCCAACCTTCCCAACTTGGGGAGTTGGGCATTATCACCCCTTTCTACAGATAAGGAAATTGAGGCTCAGCAGAGTTGAGAGGTGCCCGAGCTGCCAGCTGCTAATTGGCGGAGCCGGGTTCACACGGAGTCCTTCTGGTTCCCTCGTCCACTGTGGGGCTCCGTGTCCAGCTTCTGTGTCTGGCTGCCCTGCGGCTCCTCTCCCATGCGTTCATGTGCCATTTGTTCCGCACGCCGCATTCCAGGCTCTGCTGTACCAGGCGTCAGATGCAGTGGTAACAGCGCAGACTCAGACCCGGCCCCAAGGAGCTCCCCACCTGGCCAGGGCACAGAGGCGCAACCAGGTTGCCAGAGCTATGGGGTGAGTTGCACACCCCATAGGTGAAGGTCAGGGGGCAGTGGGGCAGCAGAAAGAAGTGGCACAATGTCAAGCATCAAGGCTTCCTGGCAGGAATGACCTCCCGATGAGACCCAGGTGGAGCCAGGTGAAGGGACGAAAGGAGGGTGTGTGGCAGGGGAGAGAGATTGTTCCTTCTGAAAAGAACAGCCTCTCGGAGGCCTGAAGATGGAGGGGCAAAGTGACAGGGCTTTCAGTGACAAAGACTTGGACAACCTCCCAGAACATCCGTTTCATGTGCCTTCCAGGCTCAGAATCCTATGACTAGGGACTTCTGCGGGGCACCCACATGGCTTCTTACCCACACTGTCTGTGTTTGTCCAGCTCCTCAGAGAGAGCGGAAACCAGAAACCAGACAACGTTAGACAGACAGGGAATCTAGAAGGGTAAATGCCTGTGAGAGAGAAGAGGAGGACATGGGGGAGGCGGGGAGCACGTGTAACACAGATCCAACTCTGAGTGAAGGAGAGGCGGAGGGAAGGAAGGTCAGTGGAAATGTCTCAGACGGTCCTAAGTTTGGCAAGGCTGTCTGGGAGTCCTTGAGCCAAGGTTGCTCGTGAGAGGAGACCCGAGTCTCCCAGGCATGGCCCTGCTGCCCGGCTCTGCCCTGGGCTGGGAGCGGCAGGGGCGAGAGGGCACGAAGGCAGCGCTGGGTGTCAGGGAGCACTTGAGGGCACCGTTGGTCAGTTACACTCCCTGAAGTTGGACATCTGAGAGGCACATTCTCGTAGCCACCACATGCGCTGGTTTATTCACCCAAAGTCCAGGCTTCTCCTGTGGCCCCTATTCTTGACTTCCAACAGGAGAAACACATCTGCCCAGAGGCAGTGCAGGGCCGTGGTTAGGAGTACCGCTTGGGGCTGTCCCCAGCTCTGCCACTTGCCAGGTGGGTATTTCAGTGAAGCTACTTAGCTCTGAGTCTCCTCATCTGAAAATGTGGATGACACTCTCCTCTCAGGCTGTGGTGGGATTAAATGAATTAGAACACATGGCAAGCGCTCACTCACCTCATCAAGGATGACTTAGAGCCACTCGGATTCAGGGCTATTTCAGTGCATTGCTTTGCCAGGGCTGCATCAGAATGTGAAAACACCGCCCCCTACCACTGCTGGGGGCCAGACACCCCGAGCTTTGCTTCTCTGTGACCCTTTGCCCACCTATCTGCGAAGTTTCTCCTGACCCCGAGGCTTGGTTTGGGGTCCTCCTCTTCCATGGAACTTTTCCTGATGATTGATTGCAATTTTGTCATTGTCATTGTTTCCCCCACTGAGTGTTCCTGTGGGTGGGGACAAGGTGCTGTTCACTGTTGCATCTTCAGAGCCTGGCATGCTGGCTGGTCCTACCCTAGCAAGGCTAGGACACAGGGCCATCTGCCTGAGAGGGGAGTGGTCTCACTCCTCTCTGGACACCCAGCCTCGCGCTCAGGGCGCCGTGTCTGCCCGAGGAGGCAGGGTTCTCATTTGCAGTCACACAAAGTTGCTGACAGCTCCCAGAGCTGGGCGTCCTTGTCTGCCCCTGCCCAGAGGAGGGTCCTTCTCTTATTTGAAAAGGTGCTGTGTCAGCTAACAGCAGCTCTGCCAATCAGCGGGGCTTAGAATGTGTGAAAGCATGGCCCAGTGCCCCACAGTGTGAGCTCCTCCTTCCAGAAACTTCTGGAAAGCCTTGGACGAGCTGTCTGAGTGTGTTTCTGTCTCTGTAACATGAGGGGTTGGGTTCATGTTCCTCTAAAGTCCTCTTCTGCCCTGACGTTCAAGGCTTCGAGGGAGCCGGGGTTTGGATCCCGCTAGGGTGTGAGGACAGGATCTCTTGGGGGCAGGATCTCCTATATCCTCTCCTGGGCAAGGGCAAGCCTTGCCCGTCACCCTGGTCAGTTCCCTCCTCCTCCTCCAAGGAGCCTGTCTGACCACGCCCACGTCCACCACATTTGCTTCATACTTTGTGATTTATCAGGCGACTTCACATACATTACTTCCTTTAATTCTCACAACAACCTAGTGATAAGTGTTATTAACTCATCTTGGAGACGAGAGAAATGAAACTCAGAGAGGTCAAATAACTTGCCCAAGGCCACACAGCTAGTAAAAGGCAGAGTTCAGACTTGAACACTAATCTAGAAAGTAGAATTCCTCCCTACTTTCTTTACGTTGCTGATCATTTTGCCCTGCATTACATGTCTCACCCCCCATTTAGAATATAAGAACCTCAAGGATAGGGGACATGATTCCACTTCATTCCAGTCCCTCCCAAACATCTCATGTACACAGTAGGTGCTGTCTAAACGCTGTCTGAGTAAAAGTAATATGCTTGAGATGCAATCACAGCAGATGTCAAACTCCAGAACAGCTGTGTGCAAATCCAGAGCCTGCTTGTGCACAAAGCACTCGGACAGATGCCTGCTGTGCGTGCACACGGGGCACCTTGAGAAATAGCTCTGGCGTGAGAAGAGCTCTCCTGCCTGGGGTGCCCGGCTGTGGATTCTTAGCCAGATGCTCTGCTTCCTCGTTCCTGTCCTGCGCCCTCCCCTCTTCTCTCCTCCCAACAGCCCAGCTCCACGTTTCCTCTCATTTAGCATCTGCTCTTCCCTGACCCCTTTGGCTGTGAGCTCGGCTTCTCCCAAGGAAACCTTCCTGCTTCTTCCTGGCTGTGGGGCCTTCACCCAGAATGTCCCAGCTCAGCTCCACAGATGTCCCCTGTGCCGTGCCACAGCTTTCCCTGTCTCAGATTCTCAGGTATCACTGAGACTCACGGCGAGAGTCTATACAGACACATAAGTGCCTCTGAAGCCCCAGACTGGCACTGATGGGCCACCTGACCACACAGACCCATGCCCACTGGGCCAAGAGCAGAGACACAGATGTGCATTTGTGCCTATGGGGGCAGACACAGGGCCCACATGCAAACCCACACATGTTTTGTATGCAAGGTGTGCCCAGATGCCCAGGTGCATGCACACACAGACTCTTAAGCGTGCACGTGACCTTATGTGTTTGAGACTGAGTCTGGGGTACACCTTCCCTTCGGCATGTGGGTACTGGCGTGTGCGAACACAGTGCCATGTGCCTTTACCTGGAGACACACACGTGCGTGCAAAGGCAAGGGAGGCAGCCTCAGCCTCCTCCCCAGGGAGGGTTCCATCACCGCTCACGACCTTTTCAAAGACATAGGTTCACACCTTCTCCTTTGGGCCAGCTCTGCCTTTGTCAAGCTGTCTGGCCCTAGGAGCTTGTGGTCTGGGATTCCCCAGGCGCCCACACGATGGCCTGTCACCTCCACACTCAGCAGTCCTCTCACTGGGAGCTCTGCTCTCCACGGGGAGGGCGCTGAGGCTCGAGGTAATTAGATCTCTCTCTTTCCGCTTCAGCAACATTGATCTGTACGGGGTGCACTCTGACTCCAAAGGAACAAAGCTCTTCATTTCCCGGCCGGAATAGGCTGTTCTTAGACTTTTTCTTGTGTGAGTCATCAGAGTAGAAATCACAGCAGGCTCTCTCATCGCATGAGGCACTTCCGCTCCATTTCATTTGAGTCTCACAATAAGCTAGGGTAGGTAGGATTTGAATCAGCCCATTTTACAGATGAGGAAACAGAGGCGAAAACAACAACATTAACCACAAGAGCTGACTTCCCACCAAGTGTCAGGCACTGTTCTAAGTCCTTTGCATGTTTTGATGTTTTATCCTTAAAATAACACTAAGATGTAGGTCTGTCTTCATCCCTGTTTTACAGGTGAGGAAACTGAAGTGCAGGAAGGTCATATTAACAGCCTGAGGTCACAGACTCAGAGAGCAGTCCGGCTTCATGAAGTTAAAGGGACTGCCAGAGGGCATTTGCATTTGGGTAAAAATCTGAGGCATTGACTCCCCATATTCTACCACCAGTGACCACATATGTGATTTTCATACATCATTGAATCCACCCTTGAAAGAGTTTATCCAATACAGACACTGTAGTCATTAAAAAATATCCTGTGTTATGTCATTTTCATGAGACTTTCGAAGTCTTGAGAATAGCTTAGGGGTACTCTGAAACTCTGGAACACGCTGCTGGCTGAGATGCCTTGGGATCGAGGGGATGAAGAGAATTTGGTTAAGGTGCTTCTTCAGACTGGCCTGGGTCCAAATCCTGGCTCTGCCATTTACCCCTTCTGTGTCCTTGGGCAAGTACCACCCTCGTGTGAGCCCCAGTTCGTCTGCCTGCAGCGTCAGATGAGAACAGTTGCACCCCTAACTGGAGCATCAAGGGCACAACAGGGCGATCAGGGTGCCCCCGACACATCAGAGTGAGGAAAGAAGTGTTGTTGTCATCAGGAATGTGACACAGCTGGCAGGAGTATCGGAATTGTTACATAAATTGTGAGCTATAGGTCAGAGTTCTATTTGTCCCGAGACAGGGTGGAAATCAGCACATTGCTCATGAAGATAGAAAATAAAAACAGAAAAACCAGGAGCCCTTTGGAATAACTCAGCCACAGAAAGAGCTCATTCTTCCTGGGTGCTCTGTCGGGGCGCCCACAGGACCACCATTGTTCATCTTGATGCTTACTTGCCTCTCTATCCCTTGACCTACACCTTCTGAGTCTTTTTTAGCTGTTAAGTAGTTTGCTGGGGTTGGTTGTGGTTTTGTCCTTGGTTACTGTGCTTATGTGAAAACAACTTCAGAACAAACGGGCTCTCTTATTGACGACCCCTGTGTAGCTCTGGCTCGCCAAAGCCTCATCTCTATGTGTCCATCTTTGCTCTCTCCTTTCTTGCCCATTCTGCCTTTTTGTTGCTTAGAATTGTTTCAAGAGAATGAGCACAAGTCTCAACCACATTAGGAGAAACAGCTGAGCTCTGGCGCACTCATCTTCAGTCCTTGGTGATCATGCGCTCCACCGGCAACGGAAATTTCGAGCATCTAGCACCAATGTATGCACATTTCTTTATCTACAACTTTTATAATTACTTGTGTACTAATATCCTGTGTGTAAAACATACACACATGGAGATTTTTAAGATGGGTATTTTTAAAAAGCATGAGATAAAAATAATCAATAATTTCAAAATAATAGATGAGACAAAAATGCTTGTTCACACTAAAATATTATGTTTTTGAAAACCTTGTTTTAACACTTTCTGAAATAGTTATTCAAAGGTCTAGTTCAAAGTTCGATTTACATCAGAGGTTGAATTTAATCATTGTCTTAGCTGTAAGGGACAACTAACAGCTAGTTTTATCACAGAAAGTCAGCCAACTGCGAACCCTTGTCTTGTTGAAAGACAACTGCATATCTCATCTTATTTTCGACAACTCTTTTAAGTATTCAGCACTGGGATAACTAGTGAACTCTATTTGATACAGAAGACACTCATCATCTTCAGCCAGCTCTAATACTTCAGATATATCCACTTAACTGTGCACACAGCAGCTACAATAGCCCCTAAAATGTTGAAAACCAAAAATTGAAAGAGGGTTCCACGGGTAGCCCTTCTGCCTTGTGGGACACTTACACTTTCCTCAGGATCCCTCACAGAGAGTAGGTGACAGATAGACTGTGTGAAAGCATCAGCATCCATCTGTATATTACACCTTATTAAACCTTATTATCTTTTCTTATTTTAAATTTAAATATATAAATAAAAGGCTACCATGGTTTTCTCCATGGCTCCCACGAATCGTCATGCATGCTGTCTGGGTAGCTGAGCCTCACTTTGGAGACCACTCAGCGGGAGAACAATGAGATTCAGGACCAGGGAGAGCTACATACATGAGCGGAGGGTGCTGTATTTTAATAATCTGCCTTTAACACCTATCTGATAGGATGTTGTGAAAAATAAATAAAATGGCATGATAAGTGTTCAGCAAATATGAATTCCTTCATTCTCCTTCTCTGCTATTCAACTGGAGGGCAAGTGAAGGAAAGGAGATGGATTCAGGGAAGGTGTTGTGTCCAGAAATAAAACGGTTCAATCTTGAAGTGTTTCTGAGTAGGTGTTTCCAGTGCCTCCCTCCCCAACACAAGGCCCCAGTCAGGTGAAAGGCTTTCTGCACAGTGCGTTCACATCCTATCATACACAGATGAGGAGCCCTCTTTCCCTGCCCACACACATGCAGAGATGCTGCTGCTGCCTCCCACAGACATGTCCATTTCCTCATCTGATAAGGTCAGGCCTCTTGCCACCCTCCTAGATCTGACTCAAGCTCCTGGAAGGGAAAGTGGTGCTTATGTGCCGAGATTTTGTGTCTCTAACGCTGGTGGATCCATCCACGCACTCTACCTAGAGGGAGCTCCGGGCACTCAGCCCAATTCATGTTCGTGGAGGTTTTAACATGTTTCCGCAAATGCTTGATCTTTCTCCTTTCAAGATATGGAGCTTATCTCCTCTCTTGGTCTAGTGTGGGCTAGACTTAGTGACTTGCTCCTAACAAACAGAGTATGGCAGAAGTGATGGCATGTCATCTGTGGGATTGGATTAAAAGAGACTGTGGATGCTCTTTCTCCTTTGGGTCCCTGATCTGGAGGAAGCCAGCTCCCACGTCTTACGAACACTCAGGGAGCCTTGTATAGAGGCCCACGTGCTGAAGATCCAAGGTGACCATCCACAGCAAGAGAGAAACCAACAGCCAACAGCCCTGTGACTAAATCCTCTTGCAAGTTTTTCTCCCATCCCAGTCAAGCCTGCAGATAATGCAGCTCCAGCCAACAGCTTGACTGCAGCCTCGTAAGGGACCCGGAGCCAGAGCTACCTAGCTCAACTGCTTCCAGATCCCTGACCCTCAAAAACTGTGAGATGATAAATGTCTGCTGTTTTAAGGCATTAGGTTTTTGGGTAATTTGTTACATAGCAATGGATAATATAACGCTCAGAATCCCGGGTCCACTCCCTTTGTTCCTCACTGACTTTAACTTTTGCTTTAACATATGATTAATGAGTTCGTCTCCTATTTCTGTTCCTTAACTGCTATTGCTTACTGCTCTTATTTAGAGCTCAGCTTCCTCATCCAGTTCAACAACAATAGCTACCACATAGTGAGCATTTATCCCATTCTACGCATAGCGCACACATATATCATCTTGCCAATCATTCTACCACAAGATGAAGTCACCATCTGATTATCCCCATATGGTCAGTAAACTGAGGCTCAGAGAGGTTAAAAAAACTGCCCCCCATTAATACTTAACTTTGACGGGTCATACTGCAAGCCATATGCTCTAAACCACTTTGTCCTTCTACCTGTAGCTTTGATCCTGGTTCCTTCCACTTCCTTGTAGGTTTTGGAGTAGGACAGACTGGGGTTCAATCCTGGCTCCACAACTGACCAGGTGCTCACTGTTCCCTCCTCTCCAAAAGAGGGGAAACAAAACCCACCTCAAAGGTTCCACGAGGGGTAGAGGCAAGAACGTGTTGAGAGTGTCTGCCGTTCCCTAGACCAGTGCTGTCCAGTTGAACTCTCCGTGATGATGGAAAGGTGTCCTGTCTATCCAGTAGGGTAGCCACTAGCCACATGTGGCTATTGAGCACCAGAATGTGGCTAGTACAAATGAGGAGCTGCATTTTTGACCGCATCTAATTTAAATCAACTTCATTTCAGTAGCCGCCATCCTGGACAGCACGGCACTAGACCGGAAGCTCCAGGCAGACAGGGCTCGTGCCTGTGTGGCTCACCGTGGCATATTCCCCACTTAGGACAGCGCCCGACACAAAAGAGACGCCTGTCGTTAATTGCTGACTGAGTGAATGCGTGAACGAATGAGGGGCCCATTGCAGGCATTCCAGGAAGAGCATCCATCAGCCGGGCAGAGCCTTGATGTTTCGTAGACCCCTCCTGCCTGTGCACGTCTCGCCTTTTCTCCCCTCATCAACAGCAGCCAATTATGCTTTCCTGCAGAAATGTCATTTGAGTCAGGAATTGGACAGAGACTAGATTTCAGGCGACTGGGGGACAGAGGAAGAGACGCCCCCTACATCTCTAATGGGCCACAGAGGACAGGAAGCCCCCTTCTCATCCCTCCAGGGCTGACTAGGAAGTTCGTCTGTAACAGAGATGGTTAAGTTAATGATGAGGCATGGTGACAGGAGGCCAGAGAAGCTCCCTAAATGTCACCTTCGTTATTTTTCAAGTCAACACAACGAGCTCCCTCCCAGTCAGCTTGCGCGTTGTTAGTGTTCTGCCTCGGGGTGGAGGGAATTTCCCCTAATCCCTACAACACGAGCGGCGTGAGCTCAGCGAGGGCAGGAGACAAGATGGCACAGGCCACTTAATAAGGGGCTGCTGTCACTGAGCAGGAGCTGCTGTGCAGACATGAGGAGGTGGCAGGGCTAGGGTGGCCTGCTGGGGCTCGCCTCTTGGCTACCTCCCTGTAATACGGCAGCTGTCTTTCCAGCCTCGGGAGTGAGGGAGCACCGTCTGACACTCTGACCCAGCGCTCGGGGCGGGGGGGGGGGTCTCCTCACTACTTCTCTGGATCAATATTCCAGTCTGACATAGAATGCAGCATGGCTGGAGCAATGAGGTTGGGGGCTGGGGGTCCTGAGATCCAGGTAGGAGTCTGGACTCGGACATCACTGGTGTGGGTGACCTCTGGCAATTTGCTTCCCCTCCCCGGACCTCCATTTTCTACTCTGCGGAGTGGGAGGGGACTGGGCGTGGCAATGTTGAAGGCCTCCATCAGCTCTAAGCTTGCACAGCGGCTGAGAGTCCAGACTTTGCAGTTACAGGAGCTGAAGCGTGAACCCTGGCCCTGCTCTGTTAGCTGCGCCTCTCTGAGACAATAACAACAAAACCTCATGGGGATGCTGTGAGGGTTAAATGAGATAAGGAATTCCAGTGGTCCCAACCCTGGCTGCATAATAGAATCACCTGGGGTGCTTTTAAAAAATGCCCGTGCCCGCAGCCCCAGCCCCAGAGACGTGGACTTAGTTGTCCGTGGCGAGGCCTAAGTGCTGGGATTTTAAGAGTGAGCTTCCCTGGTGCTTCCGAATCATGTGTGAGGCCTGATGGCGGGTTTCATAGGCAGGGAACTTAACAAGCACTTGGTGACTCACTGGATATTTTTGAGATCATTTGTGTTACCATCTTTCCCCAAACCTGGCTCTCTGGCCCTAAGTTACACATGCCAAAAATCAGCCCCAGCCTTGCAAAATACAAATCCTCCTTGATTCCTCCTCCGTTTTCCCTCTTGCATCCTCCCGCCCCCTTTCCCAGACCTCATCCTCCTCCACTGCCACATCTTTCCTAGCCAGGCCTCCATCCCACTCCCACCTGTGCCTCTCGGCTTTGGACCATCGTTGTTGCGTTTCCGGATTCTTTCAGCAGCCTATCAAATTATCTTCCCACTTCCAGTACTCACTTTCAGATCAATCAGTAAAACATCTTGATTATGAGCATTAACTCTGGAGCCGCACTGTCTGGGTTCTAATCCCAGCTGAGCCATTTACTAGCTGTGTGGGCTTGGATGATTTTCTTAACCTCTCTGTGCTCAGTACCCTCATCTGCTTATTGGGGATCCCAAAGATCCCAGTCGTTGTTTGAAATCAGTTGTTCTCCCCTATTTGACCCTCTTACAGTGCTACCTTGCATTAGAGGAAGGAAAGAAAATTGAGAAATAAAAGTATTGAGCATAATGATGAATGTCACTTCATCCCCACAAAAGCAAGCAAGGTAGATATGCCCATTTTATAGATGACAACATAGAGGCACAGAAAAGTTTTTTAACTTGCCCCAAATCATGTAGAGAGTAGAGGCAGAGCCAGGATCCTGCACAAGCCTGTCGGGCTCTAGAGTCCACGCCGCGCGCCCCCGGGGAGGAAGGGCCATCCCTGTGCGGATGCTTCCGTGCTTTGATTGACCTCCCAGCTCTGGGAGAGCTGCTGCTGGCGTGGGGAGGGGCGGAAGGAGACATCTACCCACGAGTGCTCGACCAGTTTCCGAAACGACTGTCCATCAGGTGACAGATACCACATTAGGGGATAGATTTGTTGCTTCTTTTATTTGTTTTTCCGAGAAAGGACAGTTAGGAGGGACTAAACCCTCGAGTACCCAGCCGAACACTGCCCTGCAGACGCACGCAGAGTTAGGTGTGACGCATTATTCCTTCTTTGTACGGCCCTTTGCGGTGATACCAAAGATAACAGCCAATCCCCGAAGGGCTCTGACGAACACTGAACGGGGCCCCTCAGCTGTGGTCCCCGGGCTGCGCCGCCTGCCCCAGCCCCACGGCCGCAGGCTTCCTTTCAGTTGTGCCCAGTTCCGGCGGCCGGACCTGCGTGTCTTTGCTCGGGGCTTTCTCTGCTGCCGAAGCCTGCTTTGCCTGTCCTCGTGGTGGGTGTAATCCCAGGGAATTAGGCCCCCGAGCAGCAGCCCTGGTCCCCCGGCTGGTAGGCGTTGGTGTCTAGCGGCCCCAGCTCCCTCGCTGCTCTGGCGGGCTAACTGAACGTGCAGTCTACACGCCCAGCGCTTCCCAGGAGCATTAAGCTCCACTTGTCCGCCATGGCAGCTGGGTTTTAAGGGAGCCTTCTATTGGCTGCCTTCCCTTCCCTGTCTCGCCTCCCCATCCCCTACAGGTGTTTCCGGGGAACCCTTCCCAAATAACCACTTGCCGTCAAGTCCACGCTTCAGAATTGCTTCTGCAGGACCCCCAGTGCAGGCCCCACTCAGAACTGAGCCAGGCGGCCGGGCAGCAGAGGGAGGAGATGCATCACCTCTCAGGGGCTCGTGACCAGTGAGGGCGAGGAAGCACACTGACGCAGCTCAGGATGGCACAAGTGGCTGGCAAGGTGTGGCCCGGAGGCGCCAAGGGCAGGGTAGCCTGCTTTTGAGGCAGTAGGGAAGAGGAATTTGACTTTTACAGAATGAATAAATATTCAAAGGTAGGAAGAGTGTGTGACAAAATATTTCCTTTCCTCAGAAAGGAAGACAGCACTTTACCGTCACAAACTGGGTCTGGAGGATTGTTGTGTCTGGGAGCAGGCAGAACAGAGGAAGTCTCAGAAAGGTCTGTCGCAGAGACGACAAGGTGGCAGCCTCTCCATCCAGATGCGGGTGAGGAGGGAGCTCCCGCAGTAGTGGGGAGGAGGCTGGCGCTCTGGGAGCAAGGACATGTATCCCTGCGATGCCCATTTTCTCTCCTCTAGCCCTTTCGTGCCCTGGTGTCGGCTCGCCCCTCGCAGCTGCGCCCCCACACCTCCCCGGTCAGCCCCTTCATCTGCGCTGTGTCGCTGTGGCTGCCGCTGGCTCAAGGCGAACTTGAGTCTGAGTCAGCGACGGCGCCAGAGCTCCTGCACCAGCAGGCCTCCTGACCTCCCCTGTCAGAGCCCCCCTCCTGCTCTGGCCAGGCTAAAAGGAGTTTCTGGTCACCAGTCAGGCTGTGGGACAACATGTCTTAACACTGCGGCTTCCCTGGCTGCCCCAACCTGCAGCTGCCCCGTAGCTGGCCGCGTGGGCTTGACCTTGTGCCGGACGAGGAGTTGTACGTCTGTGGCCTGACACATCAGAGAGTTCATCTGAGCAGCTCTTTTCGAAGTGCCTGCCCTTGCCACGGCCCTGGAAGGAGCAGCTCCTAGGCCGTTTGATCCTGTCCTCACCCCAGTTGCTCACCAGGCTGGAGGCAGACACACGACCCAAGGGAAGAACCATGTGGCAGACCTAAAGGGCGGGCTGAGCCAGCCGGTTTCTTCCTCAAAGTTTGGAATTGGAAACTTAAAGAGACTGCTGCCAGTTGGTGGTAGGCCTGGAGCAGGAAGATCATGGGGACCAGGAGCTGGAGGAACTGGGGGGCCACGTACAAGGTGATGTGCAAGCAGAAGCAAACAGGGAGTGTCTCGAGAAGGGAGCAGATCCACTGGGAGGAGCAGAGCCCCACAGGCCCTGGGAGGGAAGTCAGGTCTCAGTTACCCTGAGCACTGGCCCCGCTTGATCTCTATCACAGGTTCTTCGAGACTTCTGGGAAGCCCTGTGGCAAACGCCTTCTGCCCAGGCAGCTCGAGTGGGCTTCTCCTCTGTACAATCAAGAGTCTTGACGGAAACGGAACCTGAGAGTAGCGGCGCACGACAGGCTGCAGCCGCGAGCACACCCGAGGGAGGTGAGGGTGGACCCCAGCAGCTAATCGCACCAGGTCTTCCCAGTGCGTCCTGTGTGCTTCAGGCTACAAAGGACAGCTGAGGTGCAGAAGGATGCGCTCTTGAGAAGGGTCCCAGGTAATTAGTGGAGATGGCTATAGATTCAGATAGGCTGAGAGGGGGGAAGAGAAGCCTTTCAGGGTGGGGACAGTGGGGCGAAGACACGGGAATATGCGCACATTCATCATGATGATGATGATACTGTATGCGTGGACATACAGTCAGATTGACTCTCTGGATTTACAGTTTTAGGAATTTGAATACTTGTATAGATTCATGCAACCACCATCTCAATCAGAACATTGAACAGTTCAGCCCCCCAAACTCCCTGGTGCCCCCTTCCGGTCCAGCCTTCCTCCCACCTCGCCCCTGGCAGCTACTGGCTGCTGTGTGTCACCGCAGTGTGCCTTGTCAGGAGCCGTCAATGGAAGCGCAATGTGCAGCCTCTGGAAACCGCCTTCTTTCCCTCGGCACGATGCCTTTGATGTCCAGCCCTGCTGAGAGTTTCAGTTGCTGAGCGGTGTCCCACTATGTGGCTGTGCTATGGTTTGCTCATCCAGGCCACGTGGTTTCCTGTGTTTGGTAATTATGGGTCAAGCTGCTATAACATGTATGTGCAGGTTTTTGTGTGAACGTGTTTTTATTTCTCCACAGTAAATGCTTAGCAGTGGGGCTGCTGCATCGTGTGGTAGGTGTAGGTTCAACCTCGTAGGAAACTGCAGACTGCTTTGCAGAGTGACTGAGACATTTTGCATTTCCACCAACAATCAATGAAGGTGCCGGTTGCTCCACACCCTTCTCAACACTTGGTTTTCTCATTTATTTTTTCAGAAATATTTAGCCATTTGCTTTGGTCTGAATGTTTGTGTCCCCTCCGAATTCACATGTTGATGTCCTAACCCCCAATGTGATGGTGCTAGGAGGTGGGGCCCTTGGGAGGCGATTAGGTCAGGAAGGTGGAGTTCTCATGAATGAGATTAATGCCCTTATGCAGAGACCCCAGAGAGCACCCCTTGCCCCTCCATCGTGTGAGGACACAGAGAGAAGGCGCCAGCTATCAACGCGGAAGAGGGCCCTCCTCCAGCCGTGCTGGCACCCCGATCCACAGCCGTGAGAAATAAATTTCCATTGTGGATAAGCCACCCGGTCTGTGGTACTTGGTTGTAGCGGCCTGAATAGACCAAGACACCCTTCTGATAGGGCGGGAGTGGTCGCTCACTGTGGTTTTAATTTGCGTTTTCCTAAAGGCTGATGATGTTGAACACCTTTTCATGTGCTTATTGGCCATATTCTTTGGTGA